ACAGAGCAATATGAAACATTCCTCTTGCTAAAATTTAACCTAGAAGCATTCCATTTACTACAGAGAACACCAAAATTGACCTTTCACTCAGCCCCGCCGTTCATTTAATTTGCGGTGTCCATTAATTCTGATCCTCCGGGAAAATTTCATCCTGCACCGAGAGTATTAAATCATCTGGGCACAGTGGTGGCAGACCAACACCCTTTCCCATCTGTGGAGCCCTGGGTAATGCCCACAGCCCATCACACTGCGATTATCGATCATAGGGCGAGAGCTCGAGTCCTCCGAACTCTCGCGGGAATATCACCGGCTGTGTAAACTATCGCAGGACAAAATTAACGACATCATTATGAACTCCGGGTGTATACCACCAATGTCCCAGTTTCCAACGCCAACATCGTTTTTTAATAAACAACAACGTAACACTTGCCAAATACACTAAACCAACTTCTCAATGCAAAGTTAAATTTCATAAACTTCCGCCAAGAGTCGTAATCATCGATTATTGATAGATGGTCAAAATTAACAATTTATATTACCATGAGAATAACAAAATCAACGTCAGTAATTCCTAAATCGAAAACCAAAAAAATCGACCAATTAAATTAATTCAATACAATATATCTAATAATTCACATATAAAATTAATAATAAATTGCCAATCAGTAATAAATTTAATAGAAATGAAAATTGTTCACAAATCGATATGGATATGTACAATTCCCACGACTGAAGAAGCTGTCAATTGACAATCTGATTTTCACTATTTTCAGTAATTTTAGTATTTTTTGAAGATTGTCGGATTATTTGGGGGAAAAATGCAGATTAGTTTCATCTCCCATGTTTTACAATTGAAATTCCACGGGTAATTCTCTGACAGCGGTTTTTGGTGTGTCAATTCGTTGATTAAAAAGCTTTTGATCGAATTTAAATGCATCGGAAATTTCCAGAGGAGTAGGCGATCCCCTTCCACAATTGAATCCCAAACTTCCCACAGTTTACAATGCCCAAATTCGCGTAAACTCGGAAATTCGGGATTTAATGATCCCCTGATTTCAATTACTCTCGAAAATTACCCATGCACTATCAATATCCTCAATTATGGATCGTTTAACTAGCCCACGAGCGCCGGAGGGGAGCAGTTCTGAATGTATAATTGAATTTCCAGTGGGAGTTCCCCGGTGTCTGAACTTATCATTAGCTGAATGCTCTCTCCTGTGTGGAAATGATAGCGCGGATATCAGAGGCAGTCGTTACTCGGGGCTGGTTTTTATGATTAACGAATTTACTTTTCCATTACTAGAAAAGTACTCTTGCAATTTCCAGCTTACAAAACTTGAACTTTTTTTAATCACGAATTTGCACACAGTGAGAAAACTTTTACCAAAATGTATAATTTTTGATAAAAAAAAATCTTGAATTGCTACAATTTATTACACAATTATAAAAGTTCATGGTAAATTTTATCGACTATTTATTTCGTTTTTTACTGAACAATCAGTTAATTTCTCTCAATATCCAATGCAATGACTCATTCATTCATTAAATTATTCTTTTTAATTATCAAACCATTTGAGATATCGAGTGAATGAGTGAGATATTGAAATTTCAGAAGTTCAGTCACACTTGAAGTTGGTAAAATGTGTTATCGATCTTCCCAATTGTTTTCACGTTTTCTATTTAATTAGTGACTTGGAGTGAAATTCAGAGATTCTCATTGTCAGGATTCTATAAATTTGTCTGTTCTCTTGAAGCAAAAGTTGTGACATAGGTGGAAGCCAGGGAAAAGTCCAAGCTGTGGCTGACGCATAGGTGAAGTTGTTGTCTGTATAGTTATATATGCTCAAGTGAATTCAAACTGAATCGATTCAAAGTTATCGCTGGTGTTGAGGACGTGCTCGGTAGCGGCTGGTCTGTACCGTTGAGATAACAGGGGGTTGTAGGTGGAAATTAAACGAGAGGGTTTCAACATTCTAAAGCAATTAATTATGGAGCGAGGATAGTCTAACTAACTCATCAGGCTTGCATTCAGTCGTCTTTGAATTATTTGAGATTTAATTCGCCTACGCTGCAGTCATGACAGATGTTCTGAAAAAGTTATTAACAAGTTAAATTAATTATTCAATTAATTAACCTCCTGAATTTGCGAAATTTTGACGAGTTAAAGGGGTTTAAAGTTTTTATTTTATTCAAAATTCAAACACTCCGGAAAATTCGGATTCAAAAAAATTATTCTTCTGATTGCAAATGAAAATTTTCTATTCAATTTCCGTTAGTTTATTTTTTTTTCATCCAATTCGCATTGCAATTTCAATATACTGTAATTGCAATATAAATATATACATATTGAATTGGAATTCTAAGGAAAATAAAATTCTATTGGAAAATGATGAATTTTGGAAAATTTTCACTGAAATGTCAAATCAATCTGAAAATGTCAATCCGCCGGAATTATTGAATATATTAGCAAAAGTCGTAATTTGAAGGAAAAATTGGAGAATTTCCCAGGACTTTAACTTAATATTCTGAGAGTGGTTTCCCATCAGTCTGAGAACGCAAAAATCCATTGAGAGGCCCGCAATGGAAATTCACTGCTGCGGTACGAGAAAGAGATGAGATCGTGATGGAACAGTGAATCCAGTCAATCACAGTAATTTGCATATCGTATTTCTCCTCCCCCAGGCTTGTCCTTCATCTCTTCCAGATCTCCCTCTCCCTGTTGTGAGGGGAAGCCATACACCCTCTGTTCTCGTATTATCCTCGTACACTGCTTCCTGTACCTTTGCCAGAATCACGCCTGATTGGAGTTTCAATCTCGAAGTCGTCAATAGAACTTGATTCTCCCTCCACACATTTAAAGGGCGATGGGGGGAGGTCAAAGTGGGATAACAAAGTCAGGGTGGTGATCTCCACCCACCAACTCCTCCATTTTCCTCTTTTTTCCTCTTTACGAGGCACTCACTTCGAAATTATTCATCCACAATCCCAAATTTATAATACAACTCACAAATCCTCCAATTTCAAAATTCCCAATTCCATATTCAAATTCGAAATTTCCTGAGTTCCACAAACTTTTCACTCCTTTTGAAGATTCTGTAAGTTTTGGTACATTTTCTTCTAAATGAAAAAAAAAAGAAAATTCCACAAATTTCAACAAATGTTTATCGGAATACAATTAGATTTCTCACGTTTCTCTTTATTTTCCCAATTACCCACCGGCGGTTTCGGGACATATCCCCTAATGAACGTCATCCACGGGAAAAATCCTCTCTATTCCGACCATCACCACCCCTCCCAATTTAATTTGATATTTTTGCTTCATCAACGGCGTATTGTGCCATGAATACCACAAAATTAAATGAACAGGCGTGGTCTCACCGTCCAGTTCCAACCGCAGGGGACATCCGACTTCATTTCATTGTTCCTGTTTACAAGGACGTCGGGGTAAACAACGGAAAAGCAAAAGGGAATAGATCGACGGATATCACCGTGTCCCACCGATCGTGTAATTAAACGGAATTTACTGGGGAATTGAGGGCATCGCACTCTCAGAGCTTTCGAAGACTGTCTTTCATCACTGCAAACAATTCCGTGTTTCCGTCAGTCGATGAAGCAAAAAATAACTACTGATTCACGTCGACGTCGGCGTGAATCTAATCGATTATCGAGAAAGCCGACGTGATTTTCTAAAGTATTTTATTCACTGGAAAAAAATATTCTTGCCAATTTACTTGAGAGAAATACGTAATTTTTCAAAACGTTATTTATCCAATCGAGTAAGTTTCAAATGAGAAATTAAAATAAGTAAATGGAAATGAGGTTTTTCGAATTGACCATTCAATGAGATTCAAGCCGAACTTTTTCTTCCATATCATTAATTAATTCCATGAATTTGTCATTTCCAATCACTCGCAATACGAAGAGTAAACAATGAATTATTTTCCGGAAGTAATCACACGTACCTCCGTAATTGAATGGATTCCTCGCTCATCGATAATATGGCATATCCAATCATCGAGAAATAACGGTAACTTTTAATTAATTGCTGTTTGGCATCATGTGCTCATTAAAGTCATTACCGAATCGAATTCATCAATTAAATTGCGTGCGCCATGATTTAAAAATTTTTCAACAATTCAGAAACGAATTCTATGGAGAAGAAATTCTTGATTCTAGTAATTACACCTTGCGAAGGCTCTCATTATTTTTAATTACGCCGCATATCGCAATGGAAACGACAGTACGTCATGATTAAATATTCATTCGTCTATAATTATGAAGAAAAAATGTCGTCAATTATTAAGAAATACGAGTCAACCACGAATTAATCCCCAACTACTCTAGAAGATTGCAATCGTCGTTGTTTCTCTGGAAGAACAAATACGGTGCAGTTTTTCCAACGTCTATTCACCCCCAGAGGGAATACATGTTTCCCTTTTTGCTAGTTGCTATCGGCGTGGTATCGAGGTGCCGGCAGACGGATAAGAAAGAAGAACGTGATCTGGCAAGATTCCAGAATTTCCAGAATACAAAGTCCCCCATCCTCTGGCATTCGACAGTGTCCGCAAACTGCTAGCCTAATTCTCTGAAACAAACGCCATTGTTTTTTACTTCAATTGTTGGGAATATTGAAGTTACTCGTGGAAATCCCACGATAACTACGATGGGAGATAATTGGAAAATGAGAAATTATCATTTTTACGAGTATGTGGCTGTGATTTTATTATCTGGGAAAATCTTGGAAGCAATCCTGCTGAAAAATTTTCCACTTTTCTCTGAAATCAATTCCTGAAAAAATCCGGTAAAGAATTTTTTGTACGAGGGAAAGCTCGGAATTTTTCTAAGAAATCAGGCAAATTTGCAAAATCTTTTTATAATCAAAATATTTACTTTTATATTTATATTCTTTGGGGTTTTTACCCGAGAACTGAAATAATGAATCGTTAATAGAAGAATGAACGATAAGTGATAACGAATGTGATTTATTATTGATGTTGCAGAAGTCGAGGAGAGAACGAGTGGGAAGGCTCGGGGTGGCAAACTAGCCCGTCGTGCCCGTTCTTTCAAGGAGGACTTCCTGGAGAAGCTCTCGCAGATGAGGTCCCCCGGGATAAACTCTGGGGCTGGAGGTGGTAGTGGTATTGCAACACGTGCTGCATCACCATCATCACCGCGAATGCCCAGAGAGAAGACACCCCTCGGTGACAGTCTTGATAAGAATCCACTGAGGGATCTCCATATCCACGTCAGGCAGGTACAGCTTGCACTGCTGCACTTTCGCGATGTCGTTTCCAAAAAGAAACTTGAGATGTTACCTGGTAATGGCACCATCGTACTCGACACTGTCACCACTATACATACAGTCCTCAAGTCGTATGTAGTTTATGAAAAAAGGTAAGTCTTTCTCTTCGTAATTATTATTTCATCAATTTCACTCTTCTCTAATTTTCCATCATAATTTTCAAGTTAAATTCATAATAAACAAAAATAACACTTGATTACTGGTCAAAATGAAAGTCGTTTGTCATTGCAGTACTTTTTAAAGAGGTTTCCCAAAAAATAATGATTCGAAATAATGGAATTTAGTGAAAGAGGTGATATAATCCTGACAATTGATCTTCCAGCTCGACATTGAACTCTGCCACGAATCAAGTTTATCAAGCACTGGCGAAACTCTTGAAACTGTGCGACGACGTTCTGATCCACGGGAATCAGTCAGCCCCGTGCCCAGCCTTGGACACAGAGAACGTGACACACGTGATAGGATTAGTTGAGGATGCTGTGAAAAATCTAGTTGCTTTGGCACACGAGAAGATATCAAATCGCCAGAAACCAGCGCCAGTGGCAACAAACAACAGGTAACATTGAACAGAATAAAAATCGAGGGAGTGAGCTGCTGTGTAGCGACATATCATTCAATCAGTCCGATAGGCGTTCCTCAAAAGGATTTATCTCCCTTTTGTTCCTCTTCCTGATGGATATATGGAGCTTTTTGCTGTCCGACGATGTCAATGGACGGTAGTTTTATCGGTTGGCAATGAAAAAAAAATCTGTCGAGAGAACGAGAGATAGGGGATTACTTGATTCATTCGGTTGAGGGAATTTTATTGAGTAATTAATAAGGAAGGGAAGATTTCAGTAATCAGATCTGGTTTTCAATGGAAAATCATGCCGGTGGTTAACAATTTCAATAAATTACTAATTTGACAGAGAAATGCTAAAATATATTTTTATTTATTTATTTAAAAAAAAATTCAATCAGTATTAAAAAAGGTGTTTAAACATAAATCAATAATAAATGAATATACCAAGTCCGAATTAACTCGGATATGTACAATTTTCGTTTTACTAAACACTTGTTGATTTACGAAAGGATGTGTGTAAAGATGATTTGTGATTTTAGAACTTCAGGGTATGGAACTGATCTATCAGCCCAGAGGAACTCCCTTCCGGACATTCCCCTGACACCTCGGGAGCGTCAGATTCTGGAGCAGACAGCTGCAAGCAGTAATTTGGTGAGAAGTTCCCACAGTTCCGAGTCCATCCTCAGGGACTCGAGCCCGCCACCGAAGCCACCACTCCCTGACAGGTAATCTTGAATCACCAGAATCGGTTTCAATGAATTTTGTTGTTATTCACGTTCATGAATACTAGGAGGAGCGTGAGGAGGTCACTCAGGGGTTTTGAGATAAGATAATTATAGAAGTGTTCACGGTATTTTTAGCTGGTGATAATCCACTCGTGCAATAATAGGCCCATAATTCTTGGGGGATCGCACACTTCGGGAGAGTGGAGAGAACAGTCATTTCGTCACATGATAATTTATTTTCATCTACTTTGGGGTGTGATGGACTCGGTTTTTATCAAGATGATGAATTTTATGCGAGTTGTTTTGTTTATTGTGCATTTTTTGAAAAATCAACTTGGGAATTGAATTTATGGTCGAATCCATTAAAAAATAAGTTGGATTTCTATTTTCTAAAATCGAGAGATAAATATTAAAAACGAGAAGGAAAAAAAAAAAAATTCGCTGAGAAAAGTATACAGTGTAATTTCCTAAATTGGAATGTATATATTTTTTGGTCTGTGCGGATTCTTTTCCTGTGAATTCCTTCGACTTGAGAAAATTAATCTTTTGAAGAAAAATCACCATTTAAATTTGCATGAGACATTTGGGTTGAGACATCTAGTCTAAAAATAACAGCTTGTCTCACAATTTCAGGACGAACATCAGTTTATCCGAGGACAACGGTTCCTCGACGCCCCCTCCTCTCCCCCCAAAACGTCGAGCCCGTGCCCAACAGCTTTTGGACGAGTCTGAGGGTCTTTTGGCATCGACTTTGGACCGTGTCTCGTTAAGGAGTCGTTCCCCGGAGGACTCATCCTCGCTATTGAGCGCGTCAGCTGGAAGTTTGGACTCAGCGCTGAATCACTCCAGGGACGACGAGGAAATTCGCTCGATCATGGGGCCAAACGATGAGTCCTTGAACGACAGTATGGATCTCAGTCTCATGGCGACCATTCATGGTAAGTTGATAATTAAATAACAGTTAGAGAGAAAATGATACAGGACTTTTTTGTGGCCGATTAAATTTCGGAAAAAAATTTTTTTCCAGAAAAACAACCATTTTTTCGCGTACAACCCATTATTTTGTGTATCTATCGATATTTTGAAAAATTTTTAAATCCAAGTACTATAAGTCGAATTGTAATGAATTGTCGACAACAAATTTGTTATCATGTGCCTGCTTAAATCAGTCGTTTTACAAGATCCATCGAGATTTTCCCAAACGAGTTCGGTCTTTCTTAAGAAGAATCTCCGTTTCTAATCGAATAAAGAAATAAATAATAAATTGTTTGATGAACCTCTTAAAATTCACGTCTGGAAAATTTAGTCTGTCCTCTTCACTATTCGTAAAAGGGTTCCCCTGATCGGGATGCTTTATAGAAAAAATATGAAATAAATGTCGTCTGTTAAAAAATTATGATGAACGTGATAAAAAAAGGTTTGAATGACGATAATTAAAGTAAGTCTGCAAGTGGAGCGTTCCGAGAGCATTCGTTTGAGTCTCGGAAAAACCACGTCCATAGTGAGAGGAGAGACCCGGGGTCTAGCGATTAGTCAGCAGAAAAAAGCAAGAAGTGTCCCAGAGACACTCCAGCAAGGGAAACCAGTCAGTCTGGCCCCGAACTCCGATGAAAGTGAAACAACTCGACGTTCATCAGAATCAAGCCATAAATCCGTGCCCTTCATACCTCCAAATTCAGATTTTATAACTTTCCAATTTCTCACAGTCTATCATGGACAGACGGTGCGCGATTAACAATCACTGCTGTAATTTCGACGCAATATTTGACGAGTTGAGGAACATTTGTTTGGGTATGCGCTTAGTTTTTTTGCTGGACCATTAAGGTAGCTTCTTTAATAGTGTTGGCTTCGGTTTTCAAATTTTGCTTGAATACACATTAACTAATTTCCCACGACACAGGAAGAAATTAAGTAGATAATTTATTTCCTTTCTGTATGGTTTTACACCTTTTCCAGTAGAAAGAGATTAAATAATAATGCAATAATTAAAAAGTTACATCATCATGCACTCCATTTCAAATATCTCCGGATATCGACGGAGTGGATCATTAATGGAAATCTCAAAGTAGGATTGCCCTATTTTTTGCTCTTCGTTTTAACATCGAAATCTTTAAATATTAGGTCTCCAAGTAAATGGGACAAATAACTGCGGCTGTTGGGACGGCTCGGAGACTAGCATACCGAGCACAATGTTACTGGGACAGCAGACACCCCAGGAGATGATAAATCCATTTGCTGGTGAGTCTTTGAACTCTTGTGCATGCATAACGGAAGTGGATCGTTGGAGTAGAGAACATTCGAAAAAAAACAAGTCCAATTTTACGCAAGAATCTTCAAATAACTTTTGAGGTCAATGGAGTGGGCGAAGAATTGAGTCGCCTACGCCTGGAGCAGTTTTCCATGAACCTTCGTGTCGTGAACTCCCAGCAAGAACCAACATCTCCAATTTAATTGGACAATTGGAGTTGGGATAAGATGTTTTGTTTGAATTGGAAGAGAGTATTGAGAAAGTCTGGTAATTTTTCAACGAGTTGGACTTTTTTTTTCCTGAGGGGCAATACTTTCCATGAAATAATGATAATTCAGTTGCGTAAAGTAGTGTTTTTCCAGTACCATCTGCCAATTTAAAGAAGCTAATTAAATTCCTGTTGAGGACTTTTTTTAGCTCTCCATCTTCTCTACAAATAGCCCTTGCGCAAATTCTGCTATCTCTTTTACATTCTGAAATTTGTCGCAAAAATTTGGCTAGGATTTGAGTCGAAAATTAAATTTCTGAAAAACAATTGTTCCAGGAATGGAAGGAAAAATGGAAAGACTGTCGACGCAAACCCAGGAGTCGGGTTTCGTCTCGCTGCATTCGCAGCGCAGTTCCTCCCAGAGCTACACAGCCTCCAGCATGACGTCGAAGAGGTCCTCTCAACAGAGCAGTGTCAGTTACAATTCACAGTCCTTCAGCTCACAGCAGCAGTCCTTCTCTCAGCAAAAACTCTCGGAGTGCACTGAGGGCTCTATCATGACTCAGAGGACCACCAGCTCAAAGAGCAGTCTCACTACTACCAGCATCACTGGCAATGGCGATCCAACACTACTGGAAAAACTGGTAAATGTGGGTGTTGAGTGCAGTTTCTTATTCTCGTCTTCTTGGATCTAGCCTCTTGTAATTCATTTCAATTCACTTCGTTCAAGTGGAAGAGGACAGTAGTGGGAAATAAAAGTGTAAAAATCAACAAATAAATGATCGACGTTTATAAAAATAGATGAACTCGGGGTTGTCATTCCTTTCTTCACTGATAAAAAATTACTCTCTTAATTTATTCGGATTAAAAATATTCTAATTTTCTTATCTATATGACAAGAAAATTATTAATCATGGTGAAAATTCAAGAAAATATATTTCCTGAAATTCTTACCTCACTGAAAATTGAAAATTTAAATAGTTTGAATAAAATGAAACAACAAATAAATATCAATAAACAATTGATTATTATTATTTCTGATATAAACATGTAAATGAAAACACAAATTTGAATTTTCGCAATGAATTCTAGAAGTTTCGAGTAAATTAATCTGAAATTTATTTTAAATGAGAAAAGACTCTTGCAAGTTATTTTCATGTTTATAATTCCAATTTTTTATTGGAAGCTCCAGTAACAATTATTACAAAAAGTGAAAATTTCTGGAAATATCCCTGCGATATTCTAAACCCTGAAAAATTCCATTAAATCGAGTCTTTAATTTTCCCGAATTGTCAATTAATTTACAGTATCCACTGTTTCTGAAAAGTCCGTGAAATCGGATACTGTTAAACGCTAAATATGATTGAAAAAACATGAGAAAAACTTGCCGAACCCTGGTAAATTGTTAAACTCGGAATATTTTTCTCCAGGAAATGGAAGCTCTGACAGCACCAGATACGAATGGGCTCCCACCAGCCCTCCCAGAGAAGCGCTCAAAGCGCCGAAAAGAGCGCCAGCCATCGCAGTACGATAATGTACCTGAAAATGAGCACCTGTCCACCTGCAGTCTTCACGCGAACTCGAGCGACAGTCCAGACGCCAGTAGACCACCTCCTCTTCCCTTGAAGAAGCGCCACAGTGAGTAATCAGTCTGAGCCGATAAGAAGCAAAACATCGATGATAAAAAAAAATCAGTATTTGAGTAACGATAAAGACGTGACATCACTGGATCACTCAGCAATTATTATTGTCTTTACTCAACTGCTGTTAATTATCTCGACAAAAAATATAAGGAAACAGAGGCGGTCTGACGCCGCCAGACGATTTGAATAACTCGATAACATTCTGAAATAGTCGATACTTCTCAGTACTTGTTGTCGTCTCGATGGAGTCACATCGTCTCTCTTGTCCTCTGTTTTTTGATTTTTGAGGGAATGGAGGAGAATTTGTGAAGTGACCTCTTGAAACTGACGTTAATATTTTGTATCCCCCAGTGTTCCAATCGGTGGCATATTCCGGTAAGTGGGAAGTGCCCACACGTTTTTTTATTTTCATTTTTCATTGGAGGTTTTTTTGCTAGTGAACGAGAAAATCATGCTGCACTAGATAAATATTTTAGTTATCCAGTTTTCAAGAAATATCTCGGGACTTAGCGGAGACAAATTTTCTTCAATCACTTTTTTTGTGGAACAGGATGCGGACTACAAAAAAGATTTTTACGAAAATTTCAGTATCTCTTTTAAATTCGGAGGTATTTCTCGAAAAATTGAGTATTAAATATATCGAGGCACCCTTTATCTCTTTTTAGATGAAACTTTTGAGTTTTTTTGCAGCACGATTTTTTTTCACGCCAGCCTCTGACAGACATAACAGCGTTTGACATTGAGCTTTGATTTTTCATTAGAATAATTAAGTTTTCTTAGTTTGAAGCTTACGCGAGTGGTTTTTAAAACAGTAGTGGCCTTTTGGTTTTTTTAATCTCACACACTCGAATCGAATTTTAGATAAGACTTAAGGGAGAAGTCACGGACAGGTAATTTTTCTCGAGTTGTTTCGGCGAGTTGGGGTGGCTTGTTAGTTCGAGGGGATACTAGCATCCTCGTTATCTTCTGGTATTTATTAGAGTTGAGGAGTCTCGAGGTGAAGGCGAATTAAGGGTAAAATTCAGACGTCGCGATGAATTTCGAATCGGAATGCATTTGAATAAATTTGTTTTTCACTTGAGGTTTATTTCCTTGTGGTTCAGACGATTGGATCTATTTATTCAGAATTCTGTGTACTTCGATATGAGGAAGGCAATTTGCACGTTCGCTATTTAAAATAATTTATTCCATGCATTTCAGTTGCAAAGTGGTGAAGTGAAAAAAGGTGAATTAACCATGTTGCTTAATAATCGATTTACGTCCAAAGCTCTTGATCTCAGGCGAAAATATCAAAAGATTTTTTTTGTCGGAAATTTAATCAGTCAAAAAAAGTTATCTAACATTTTACCTGTAATTCAATTATTTTGTAGAGAAATCGATAATTAAGGCACTTATTGAATTTTAATCATCTCACTCAATAAATTTGGTATGTTTTCACGTTACAATTTGCAACGATAAATTCGCAACGATTGAATCGATAAAAAAATTCTACACCTGATCTCAAGAAGACTTCCTCAATCAGTTTGGAATTTACCTAGGACAATAAAACATCCCGCGCCTTGAAATTCTAAAAGCATAATTCACGTGAGTCTGACTTTTCAACCGGGAATTAATAGAACTTCAAACGCAGTTGTACTTACATAATCCTCATGAATCCGGTGAATGAGAGAGGAAGATGCTGGTAATAAAGTTTCATTACCAACTCCAGTTAGCTCGTAGAACCCTAACGCGAGCACGTAATGAGTGTGCAATTCTCAGAGACACGTTTTATTTTCATCCCATTAAATCCACACGTGCATAACAGTTGCATAAAAAGGGAATATTTTTTCTCGTCGAACGCGTCGCGACATGACGAAGTGTACACACCCAATCCCAGACAAATTTTTTTCATATTTTTGTTAACGCATCACTTGGGTCTGCAATAAAACCAGTGGTGAAGTGAGAAAATCAATTCAATACCGAAAAGGCAAAGGAGAATCAACTCGAATTGCTCCCTAATCGAGTTTTCGACGTATATTTCGGAATCTAACAGAGCTAGCGAAAATTTTTACAAAACTGTTTTTATAAAGCGGAATAAGAGCTACAAAAACATATTTACAACAATTTCGCTATCTCTTTTGGCTTATTCAATATTTCCCGAAAACTTATCAATTAGCGAGATCGATCGATTTGTTACCGTTCACCTCATCGCTAGTGTATTTCGCTCCGCGGTTTTCATTGGATATTTCGGGATCTACGGGTGCTGGCGAAAACTTTGCAGAATCTTTTTTGTAGAGCAAGCAATGATTTACGAAAAACGTTCAGTAAAAAATCTTGCCATCTCCCCTGGCTCCGAAGATATCCGACAAAAACGATTCGTTATGGAGTTGAGTTGGGTTTAATTCTGCACTTCTCCATTGAAATTGCGATTCGCGTTGCTGAATTCCCGAAAAATGTAAATATTTTCAGTAATGGCGTACATGGAGATGTTCGGCAACTGCTCGCACACGACCAACGACTTTATTTCCGGTCTTGGCACGCGACACTCAATGGCTGCATACAATTCGATGCAAGCTGAATGGCAGCAGCATGAAATGGCACTTACAACGACGCAATCATGCTCCTCTATGGTGCATACCATGACGAGTCTCCACGATGGGACAAGGTAAGAACGATAACAGCGGAAATGAGATTGTCCGCATGTAGTTTGACGGTGAAAGTTGTTAGAAGTAGGTGTTATTCCCAAGAAAAGTTAAAAAAAAACCAATAAAAAATATTTGAAGACTAATTAATAACATTAAGAGAATGAAAATCAATTTCATCACCTTTATTTCTTCTTCAGTAAGTATTCTCACAGATTAATGAATACAGCGTGGAATGGAAGAAGTTTTTCTACTATGTTTCGAAAGTTTACAAAATAAACAGATGGTGATGAAAAATATTTCCTCAACACGAATAATTTTTGTTTTCGTACTTCGGCATTTGAGCGATGTTGTTTGATTGATTCCAAGATTACGCGATAAAATACCTCAGATAAATATTTTTTAGTCATTTTAGTGAGCTATCTGCTATCAAAAAATGTGGGGAATGAATTCATTTTGAAAATAAACTTCAATAAAACTGTGATGAACGTTCAAAACACATCGATTCAAGCCATTGTTTTGCGTCACAAGTTAATTATTCTATTATTGTCTTTACGATTTGCATTCGTTGACTTCAGTCCAGACGTTAGAGATTCATTAAAATTTCACATACATCAAAAAGCAATACGACTGATTGTAAAATGACCATGGAAGAATTTTCAGTGATTTTATTTTTAAATGGGATAAACTATGAAATCACACTTCCCGTAGAACTAACACAAGGAGCAAATAAAATAAGTGTTGTACTAGAATTTTGATAAAACTTGAATCATAAAGACAATAATAACAACCACTGGCTTGTTCATTTTCCAGCATATCGATAAGTATGAGTCCAACAATAAAAGAAGTGACGAATCACTCTAGTCTGCCCCCGGCATTGCCACCGAAGCGATCGAGATCGACGAGATCAACGGTGACACCACCCCCGATATCCCCGAAACCTGCCATCAGCATGCAAAGTCTCCACACACCAGACCCAGTCATAACGTCGACACCTGTTAAGGAGATAAAGGAAGAGCCAGTGCTCACTGATAAGAACGACAAGGCCTCGCCTGTTCTCAATCTCAATAATAATAACAACGTGACACTCGATGTTTCCCCAAGGCCTGCAAGCAATCCTCTGTCCTCAATCTCAGTCGATGAAAATACTCTAGAGCTCAGGGATATCGAGCAGGACGACGGCATCCTTGACGAGCTGGACATCAATAAACATCTGGTATTTAAGAAGACTGAGGAGGATGGACCGGACATCCGAGGGGGACACCCTGACGCTCTGCTCATCCATGCCACCAAAGCCAATAAACATGGTGATTATTTTTTCAAATTTTATTCTATTTCTCTTTCAAATTGGGGTAAATCTGGAATTTTCAACTCGTTGAAAATTCATTCGCCCCTTTTCAAGCCGTTTGAATAATTTACAAAATTATTTCAAATTCTCACTATTAATTTTAATAAAAAAAATAGAGAATAATTAATGAATAAATGGATGAAAATGCAGTTTATCATGAAATATTCCCATCTCAAATTAAATGATAAATAAATCGGGCAATTAAAACTGATACCACGGGAAATCGATGAATCGCGGAGTTTATGAAGACTATGTGCCTCAAAAACTTGAATTCGTTATAAATTGTTAATGAACGAAATGAGTTTCGTTTGTTGGTTCCCTTGGCGTTTGAAAATTTCCAGGTTGACCCCTGATCACCCTCATAAATCAAACTAATAAATTCTGGTTCATTCCATGCTGCATTAGACGAGAAAGAATCAGGTTGGTAATCACTCATTACACGACCCCTACCGTGTGTTAAAAAACCTTCCAAATTAATGACCTCTCAATGTCCCCAGATTTCCTGTATCAGGAAGCGTTCTTGACGACATATAGGACCTTCATGTCGCCCCTGGAGTTGATTCGTAAATTGCACCGACGACACCAGAGGTTCTCGTGTTCTCCAGACGTGGTGAAACAACGAGCGGCCCGTGAAGCCTTTTCCCTGCTAGTTCGAGTGGTGAGTGACCTGACGATGTCAGATCTGGATGACGTGCTTCTCCAGACGCTGATGGAGTTCGTACAGCAACTGGTGTGCAGTGGAGATCTGACAATGGCGAAGGCCCTACGAGTAAAAATCCTGGAGAAGCACCAGCTGAAGCAGATGCAATCAGCCCAGCCAATTCTATCGTCCCTGAGTGTCTCCACGAAGCAGGCGTCACTCCTGGACTTCAAAAGCGAGCAGATTGCCGAACAAATGACTCTCCTCGATGCCGAGCTCTTCATGAAGATCGAGATACCGGAGGTGCTCATCTGGGCGCAGGAGCAAAACGAAGAGAGATCCCCTAATCTTACGAGATTTACAGAGCACTTCAACAAGATGTCATACTGGGCGAGGTCCAGGATTCTAGAGCACAGAATGGAGAACGAAGCTAAGGATAGGGAGAAGTACGTCGTCAAGTTCATCAAAATAATGAAGCACTTGAGGAAGATCAATAACTTCAATAGTTATTTGGCACTGCTGTCTGCTCTGGACAGCGCACCCATCAGAAGGCTCGAGTGGCAGAAGCACATCACTGAGGGCCTTAAAGAGTACTGTGCACTTATCGATAGCTCCAGCAGTTTCAGGGCTTACAGACAAGCCTTGGCTGAGACACAGCCACCCTGCATACCTTACATGTAAGCAAATATTGTTGTTATTAATAGAATATTAGAAGAGAGAAATTTTATCGATAGCTCAAACATTAATTTGCCATATAATTCCCTTAAAGATGATATTTTACACTGAAGGGAGCTACAGAAGTGAAAATTAAATGAAAATTTATTCTCCATCGACAGCGGGGGGTGATCATCTATCTATTCATCTTTATTTTTTGTTTGCAGTGGATTGGTCCTGCAGGATCTAACGTTCGTGCACATAGGGAATAGTGATTTACTGCCGGATGGAACCATCAATTTTTCGAAACGCTGGCAGCAGTTCAATATTGTTGAGAATATGAAGAGATTTAAGAAGTGGTGAGAGAATATTTTCGCACACAAATTTAATTATATTAAAAAAATCGTTGTCACCCTGAGTCAGCCGACACTTCCACCTCCCTAAACCCTCTATTTTGCGGGTTGGGGAATATATATTGTATACCATTTTGAAGCTTATGAAATTTGCTTTCTAATGGTTGTTGTTTCAGCCCCTTATGTTAACCCGTACGGAAGTTATAGCGTTTTAAACATTAAAATGGACATGAAATGTCATGTCACGTTACGCTCGCACATTTTTTTTTGAGGGTAATTTCAGAATCTCAGCTAATGATACATTATGGGTATCTACCATTATTTGAATGCTAGGAGAATGCCCTATCATATAAGACTACATTCAGTTCGCTGTTTGGTCTATGCTCTGATTCCTGAACATTTAAACTTGAGAATGGTATGTCCTGTAACGCTCAGGAATTTTGATTTAGCCCTATTTTCAACCACTCATCCAACGATAAATTGCCCATATGTAGTATCATTTGAAAGCTTACAAAACAAGCTTTTAAATGATGTTACTTTCATTTTATTATTTTACTTGGCTTATCCATATTATCCACTATATTTTATCCATGTGGAGATAAACCTGTAGATTAACAAATTAAATTATAGCATATAATTATTGAATTTCAAATTCAATTCAATTGTACATTAAGAAAAAGTTTAAATGAGAATAGTAAAATGGAGTAAATTTCAAGGAATCGTTCCCAATAGCGTGCGCGTCCCGCGAGCGCTTTGATATCGCCCTAGTTTAAAAAAAAAAAGCTAAATGAAAAATTCATGAGTATATTTGTTCTTTAAGAAAAAATCCAATAATTCCGTCTAATATCTATCCTCGTAAAATATTTAAAAAAATCTACAATGAATGAAAATGGATAATTATCTTTTCCAGCACGTACTCCTTCAAGAAGAACGAGCGGATAATAACCTTCTTCAACAACTTCAGTGATTTTCTGTGCGAGGAGGCGATGTGGCAGATCTCCGAGAGCATCAAGCCACGAGGGGGTAAGAAACCCCCCCAAAACTAGAAAAACAACTCACCAGTCCAAAAATCAAACTTAGACGATCTTTACTGCAAAATATTTCATTCCGAACGAATGAAAATCCAGTGAATCGACTTTGTAATCACCAAATCGTGGTAATTGCCCATACTATCCAGTCTCAGTGATAAACTGTAGCCTCTGTGAGGTTCGACAGTTTCACGATCCCTAACTATAATTAGGAAATATAATTAGCTGAAGAATGAAAATTAAACTCCGCTTTGAACATTTGGCGAGTTGCACTTAACTGAAAAGCTTTAGACTAATTGATAAGGGACGAGACACAGTCTCTTCGACACCTGTAACTTATACTAAATGTGCATTTTTTAAATGAAAAAAAAATTATTTATTAGTTGAGGGGGACATTTCGTTGAACGTACAATTATCGTTTTATTTTCATGTAGTTAGTGACATTTTAATGGTCAATGGTGTGCTGTTGATTACACAAGGATGAACACCAATTACGTTGATTCATGTTAGCTATTGGGGTCTCATTGTGGGACACATGGCACGACTGAGACCAACTGTTACATATACTATTGTATATGATTATTAGAGTGAAAATGAAGATAAAAAATTCGTAATAGTTGATAATAGTTTGGGTTCTCTTATGTTGAGGATAGATTTCCAAGCTTTTTACGTATGAAAACGTTTGATAGAAATGCCGTAGGATTTCAGAAAAAATTCTAGTGAATTCTTGTTGGAATTCCATCAAAATTTTACTACAGATTTTATCAGTTTATTTGGCGTCTACAGCTATTTCTCTGACTTTTGACTATTTCTCAGATTATAAAAAGCAAATTGAAACGCAGAGAAACAAACTTGGAAAATTGATGACCAACTATTTCTACAGAAAAATCAAAATCAATTGACTTTTTGAAATGAAATATCCCTTCCAAAAATGACGCAATAAAACTGCAAAATCTTCTATTGAAGAGGGGAAGAAATTAATAGATTTAAAAAATATAATTGCCAAAACTTGAAGTGATTCCTACAGATTTCTTATAGAATTTTGAGAAAAAACTCAGTTTTTCTATGAGTTTTTCATACGCGTTAGTCACATATTCTTTTTCCTAACTAGTAGATAAGCCACGCAATTGCATTCCACTTAGTGAATATCAGACTCATATTTTAGTCATTCACTCACGTCGCAGATCGTCGATAGCGTGAAATTGATTTAATCAGTTGAGGACGAATGTGAATACAGTAGTTAAGTGAAATAACCGGGGGAATTTATAATTTCAAATGAATTGCTTTCGATGCCAAAAATAATAAACAAAATCATTCAATGGTAATGACTATTTTGTCAATTAATCACCGAAAATACTCGAAGCAATAGCATAATTGTTTTCCACATTTCACTTGGTTACAAATCACTCAATGAAAAGATCAATAAATTTCATAATAATGGTGAAAATTATGAGCGAGGCCTAAAGCAGATGTCGCCCATTCGAGAAACCCCACAAGAGGTAATAAACAAAGCTCATTACAAAAATCCCCAGCATTAATAGCCCACAAATGACGGACTTATACTCAAGGATCAATTTGCTTGACATAGACTTAGTAAAATTTGCCTTGTGAGATCTAGTGTAGAGTCCACGAGCGAGCAATGAATAAATCGATAAAAAGTAACACCAATAGAACAAATAGACACCATCAATAGTAACACCAGTGATAGCTGTATTTCAAAGGGATTTTTACGACTTCTAATTGATAAAAATTCATCATTGAATGAAATTCAATGGCTTTATAACCCACAATCCAGCAATATTACAGATTATTTGTGATTTAAGCTTCAAACACGTCCGTCAGATATCAATTAATTGCACGGTAGACATTAATCAATACATTTTTGAGAAATTTTTCAATGGGAATTTTCATTGCGTGTTTTTATCAATAATTTATTCAATT